CCTGGGGCAGGTCCTGAGCCAGGCTTCCTTCCAGGGATCAAGTCTCAGTCCTGCCACATCCGGGTGCCCTTGGGCCCTTGACTCTCTCGGTTTCCTCATCTGTAAAGTGGGACCCCCACTCTATGGGCTGCTGTAAAGATTAAAGGAGCAACAGAGTAGCGCCCAGCTGAACTAAGTGCCTGTCATTGCTGTGTCTTGTCACCTGTCCTCACACCTGCCTCACGGGGTACAGAGAGCACTTCCAATTCCAGAGAGCCTTACTCCACATGAAGACTGAGTGGGCCTGGCATCCAGGCTGAACATCTCCAGTCCCTCCAGCGGGTCCCCAGGCTCTGAGGCCCTCCCTGTGGTGGCTGGACTTGCAGGCCTGGGTGAGGCTGGGGTCCAGGAAGTGAGGCAGAGGGGCGGCACTGTGGGCCCACCTTGGTCAGGAGCTCGCATGCCGCCTGAGTGTGGAGGCTTCTCTGTGCCAGCACTCGGGCTCGGCCTCAATGGGACGGGGTCTCTGTCACGGGGGCACACACAGCCCGCCTCAGCCACAGCGGCACACACAGCCCGCCTCAGCCACAGCCACAGAGGTTCCCAGGAGCAGGCCCCCCTTCAGCAGGGAACCCTGATTGGCCCACGATGGTCTCATTCCCTGTGCCAGTGATTGGCTGAGGCGAGTTCACATGACCTGGTTCCAACCAATGAGCAAGGAAGCCTGGGCAGGACAGGGCCCCTGGAGAGGTTTTCTCAGGGGCAGCAGCCCTTGCCCTGGTGGGGCTTCCTCCCGATGGTCCCTGACGCCACAGGCTGCTCCAGTTGTGACCCCAGAGCTCGGCTGCCATGTCAAGGTTGGCCAAGTGGAGAGGTGGGAAGATCCAAGCCATGGCCCCCAGGACAGCCTGGCTCTCGGTGTCTCATCTGTCACTCGAGGTTCCAACTTCTTTTTAGGTCAGTCCAGCCAGGGCCTCCCACTGAGGTTCCGAGACTGCCTTTCATCTTCCAGAGATGGAGCCGGGTCCGCGGTGTGCAGGGGACCTCCTAGAGGAAGGGGCTACCCGGGACCTGAAGGACGAGCAGGCAGGCCGAGGGGGTGCGCGAGGAGCACAGTTCCCGGCACAGGAGGCAGATGGGATGGAGGCCTGAAGGCCACAGAGGTTGGACTCTGCGGATCCATGGCTCTGAGCACAATCGTGGGGCTGGAGAGCCCAGCAGGGAGGGCCACAGAGGGCCACTGAGGGCAAGGGGGCCATCTGGGGACGGCTCTGCTTTCCCTCCCCTGGTCTCCACCCCTAACTTCAGGCCAAGAGTGAGTGCACCCAGCGACCATGACGGTGGGCCAGCTGTCCAGAGTGGGGCAGGGCGGGGAGTGCTCCCGAGGTGACCTGCCTTAAGGGGGCTTCCAGCCCTGGGCACTCATAAGAGACTCCGGCAAATACTTGGCTGAGACCAGGGTCCCTGGGTGTGAGCTGGAACCCCCCAGGCACTCACTAAGTGCCCACAAAGCCCGGTGCCTRGGCAGTGGAGGAGGRCCGGGTTCAAATCCCACTTCTGCTTCTCCCCAGCCCTGAGACCTTGAGCAGTGGTTCTCCTCCCGACCTAGTGTCCTCACCTCCGTGGACGGCACAGCAAAGTGGGTAGCCCCCATCATCGCCCACCACRGAGGGGGAGTGGACAATGAGGCACATCTCAGGGGGAGGATAAGACAACCAGGCGACACACGCCCAGGGCCGGAGCTGGGGAGCGAGGCAGGGGCAAGAGAGGTCCTGCGTCTACCTGCAGGTGACGAGAGACCAGCMCTGTGGGTGCTGGGGCTAGGAAACAGAGGAGGGTCAGCTCCTCAAGTCTGCGCTCCTTAATCTTTCAAAACTGTGCACTGCAAACAGAGGGACTGGCCATCACTGCCTGGGTGCCACCTGCAACTTTCAATTATGAAAACTTTGCGCTTGAGCCACCTGGATGCAGGTTGAGTCCCGGGCTCTATGGCTTGTTATGTGACCTTGGGTGAGTTACGTAACTTTGAGCCCCAGGTCCCTTCTTTGAAAAGCAGGTATCACACCTCTTTCACCGACTGTCCTGCCCTGGGCATGCTGGACCAAACCCTTTGCCACCTGGCTAATCTCAATGAAAGCCCTTCAGTCCAGATTCAGGCTCAGCTGTCTCCAGGAAGCCTCCCAGGCTCCTCCCAACCCTGCTAGGCCCCGCCCCCAACCCCACTCTACTGCAGGGCCTAGTTCTTTCTTTGAACCAGGCTCTGGGTCTTGCAGAGGCAGGGGCAGGATAGCTCAGCATCTCAAGGACCCAGCTGTACCCCAGCACAAAGTGGGGTCCCCCATGCCGTTTTCCTCCCCATTGGGCAGACTCCAGAGGGGGGAGGGATCAGGAAGGTGACAGTGTGCTAGATCTTAAGGGTTGAAACAGGAAGAGAAGAAAGATGTTCAGGTGTGAAGCATGGAAGTGTGAAGGGAAAGGAAGTGAATTGTGGGTCACTGGAGTATTTGCTGGGGGGTGGCTAAAGTCAAGGATTGAAGATCCAGATTCCCAAAGGCCTTGAGTGCCACGCTGAGGGTTTGATCCTATAGAGAGTGACTGAAATTTTTTCTTTTCTTTTTCTTTTTTGCAGTACTGGGGATCAAACCCATGGGTGATTACCACTGAGACACATCCCAGCACTTGTCTTTTTTTTTTTTTTTTTATTCTCAGACAGGGTCTTGCTAAGTTGCTGAGGCTGGCCTTGAATTTGCTATCCTCCTGCTTGGGTCTCCAGTAGCGGGATTACAGGTGTGTGCCACAGCACCTAGCTTGAAAAATTTTAAACATGCAGCTYAGAGATCTCAGTGGATGCTGTACTAATTCGGGCTAAAAAGGTTTTGAGGAGTGGGGTGGTGACAGGGTTCTGGGCCACCGTGTGGGGACAGGCACTGTGGGAAGACTCACAGGGAACAAAAGTAGTACCTGGGTGGCTGATCACTGGAAACAGTTCAGTTAATAGGTCCAAACCCCAGCACYCCTTTTACATTCACTAAGAAGCCATTTAAAGAGCCCTCCAGAGCAGCTCTGTGGAAACTAGTGGACCCAGAGAGACAAAGCGAGAGCCAAAGAAAGAGAAAGACCTGGCCTCRGCCACTCGGCAGGGAGGGCTGGCCACAAGCTTGAAGCCACGCCTGGGTTCAGAGTGCGAGCGTTGGCAGGTCCTCAGTCATTTGACAAGTGTGCTCAGCACCTTCTAGAGCCAGACCCGGGAGACCCGAAGATGACCTTTGACCTCTGAGTCATCTAGAGACCAGACCCTTCACCTGGGCCTCCTCTGCCTGCCTGCCTCTGGAAGGAGAGGGAGAAGGRGGACCCAGGGAGGGAAGGTCTCTTTGTGGTCAGACAGGCCAGTGAGGCTCACCCTGGGCAAGGCCTATTTTTGAGTCCTCCAAACTGGACCCCGTGTGGGGGAGTGATGGACCGGGCCAGTCCCTCCACAAAGGGAAAGGGACAGGAGGGAGCCCACCTTTTGTTGCTCCCAAGTGCCCCTCCTCCCAGCACCCAGGCCTGGATACCATCCCCCCTTTAGAATGGTGGCCAGGAAATCAGCCAGGAGGCTACTGGGGTGCGGGGGGTGGGGGGGACATGGGGTTTGGGGAAGGAGTTGAAAAAACAAAGATTTCTTGGACCTTCAAGACTGGCCAGGAGTGGGGGACACAGGGCAGGTAGATGCGGGATCCAAACAGCCAAAGGGGGCTTTGTGTGCTGGGGGGGTGTGTGGAGTCTGAGCTGCAGGCTTTTGTTTTCAAATGACCTGTTTAATGATTACCTTTTGCAATCAAAGAAGCCAGCCTCTCCACAGGCAAAGGGCTCCCAAACCTCAGACCCCACCAAGGAGGCAGCCCAGTAGAAAGTAAACAGGGCCCCGGGCAGATCTGGCTCTGTCTCCCAAACAATGGCCGGCCTGGGCTCCGGGCTCAGTCACATCAAAGTGAGATTTTCAAGCAAGAACTTTAACAGGCAAATAACAGGATTGGAATGAATTATTTCCCTGTGTCCCCTGAGCTCAGTGCCAAAGGGGACAGCCGGGGGAGGGGGGTGCGGGGGGGGGGGGAGCTGTCATTTCAACTTAACCTTGACCTGTAACGTATTCATTCATTTTGCAGAGAGGGAGAACCATCTCTGCCCCCAAACCCCTCCCCTGCCCAAATAACAAACAAACAAACAAAACAGCAACAACTTCATTATCCCTTTTAACTGTCACAATGGTAGGCAAACAAGAGACTTAAGTTACAGCAGCTAGCTGGCACTCCACCGGGCTCAGACTCCTAGGGGGAAAAAAAACACCAAAAAACCAAAAACAACAGAAAAACAAAAACCCTGATCCGAAGCCCTGTGGGGGCTCACCAAGCCAACCCTCGGCCAGCCCTGGAGAATCGGTCTTCCCATTTCCTCCTTATACCTCCCAGGCCTTCAACTGTCTTCCCCCTGCAGCCTCCAAGCCCAGCCTCGAGGCTGATCCATAAACACGCCAGCTCCTCCCCTTTCGCGGCTCGACCCCCCACTTCCCTGGACCCCAAGGAGAAAGGATCGCCGCGACCCTCGCCGGCAGCCCCTCCCCGGCCCTGCCCCCCGGCGCGCGACCCTCGCCGGCACCTGGGGACGAGCGTCCACTAAGGATTTCTCGGTTTTCTGCCCCGGTGGCCGCGCTCAGCGCACGCCTCCCCGGCCGCGGCGACAGGGGCCGGGCCCGGGCCGAGCCGGTCCCCCGGCCCCGTCCCCACACCTGTTTTCCATTCATTCGTTCGTGCGCTCGCTCATTCATTCCGCCCGGTCCCTGCGTCCCTGGGCCCGGGTCTCGGAGAGGGGGCCGAGGCCGGGGACGACAGCGGCGGGGACCCGCGGGGACCCGCGGGGCCGGCGGGCGGGCGCCGGCGGGGGGGCGCTCGGGGCCGAAGTTGTTTTGCAGCGCGGCGGCGAGGACAGCGCCGGGAGCGCCCCTTTGTCTGTCCCCGGCCGGCGCCGCGTCCCCGCGCGCTCACCTGGTCTTGGAGGACAGGAAGGCAAGTTTGATGAGGCCGTAGGTGAAGAGCGGGATACTCTCCTTGGCGACGCTGGCAACTTGCAGCCGATGCTCCAGGATGTGGAGTTCCATCGTCCGCCCGCGCTCCGCGGCGGCTCATCGGCGGGGGGCGAGCCGCGGCCCCCGCCCCCTCCGCGCCCAGCCGGCACCGAGCCGCCGCGGGCAGCCGGCCCGGGGACCGCGAGCTCGGCGCCGGGCCCGGCCGCGTCCCGGGCAGGGAGGCCGCCAAGTTGCGAGGGGCCGCGAGCGGCGGCGGCGGCGGGCGAAGGAGGCAGCGCCGGCGGAGCGGCCGAGCGGCGGAGCGGCGGGGCAGCGGCGCGCGGCGCCCGGCGCAGGCAGCAGCTGGTGCTCGCTGTAACAAACAACTTGCCACTCAAACGCAGGTCCGCTGCGCATGCGCCGCCGCGCGCGGCCTGCCGGGACTTGTAGTCCTCGCTCCGCGGCTGCGGCTGTCTGGAGCTGGGCGGCTGCGCCACCGGTGCACGGGAAATGCAGCAGCGCGGGGTCCCCTAGGGCCGCAGAGGAGGCCGAGGGGAGCCACCCGGCTTTTGGAGCCCGCCCGAGCCTGGGTGCACGCTCTGTCACTCACTCGGGCTCCGGGCTAAAGCGCTTTGGGGTACCCAGCGAGTGTCCCCCAAACAACTCCAGCGCCTAGTGGAGGCCTGAGTCTGGGAGGCGAGAGGTTTAGGGAAATAGGTAATTACAGTGCAGGGAAGTCCAACGGAAGGAGGGTGTGGAGCACAGAGAGGTGGTCGTGGGGTCTCAGAGGGCAGCCCCGGCAGAGGACAGGCAGGCTGGATTTTGAAGGGTGAATGGGAGCCCGCAGGAAGCGGGTGGGGGCGCGCGGGTGGAGGGCAGCGGCCTTGCAGGCAGAAGGAACAGCGTGTCCAAAGGCACGGAAGCGTGAAAGCCCCCACGACGCTGTGTTTGGCTTTGTTGCAGCGGAAAATCTGAGGCAGGAGAGGCGAGAGATAAGGCAGGCACAGTAACCAGGACTCGGGTCGGGAGGGTCATGTGTGCAGAGCTAATGAGGTGGCCATTTATCCCCCGGGAGAAGGGGTGATGGCGACCACGAACGCTGAGTGGGGGAAAAAAAACATGAACCACATCGGAAGTGCTTCCAACCCCAGGGCCAGTGTGCTGGACCCTATCCCGCAACATTCCCCGCGGCATGGCCGATTTTGAAATTTCCTAGGTTAAAGTTACTGGTGCTTTGCCCTTTGGCACAGTGATTTGGGGACATGATGGGTCAGGTCCACTTGCTGGGGCAGGCTGGGAGCTTTTTGAGGAAAATCTGGGCTATTCTCTTCCACACTCCCAAGCCTCTTCTGCTTAGATAGGAACATATCAGGTGGTTTCTACTCCACAAAAAGTATGAACCAAGCCTGTGGTCTGGGGTAGATCTCTGGGCATGTCTATTTTCACTAAGGAATTTATCAATCCCTAATACAAAATTCATTTATTTGTCCGTTTACTGATTTATTTATTGACTTGTCTGGCTCCCCCCTTACCCCAAATCTCAACTCCATAGACAGTGATTTTGGTCCTCTGCTGTGTTCTCCTTATCAGCCATAGCCACCCTCCACAAGAGGCACTCGTTCAATATTCGGGGAATGCATCCATCCATGCTTTAGAATGTATAGATTCTGGAAGGACCAAATAGAAACTCCAGACCAGTCACAGACAGATGTGTGAAGCAGTTGGGTGTTAGTCAGTCAGAATGTTATAGGAGAAAAGAAGCCCGTCTGAAGTCACAGCATTTGAGGCCTGAAGGAAAAGGAGAAGAAGAAGTCAAACCCAGGTGACGAAACAAAAAACAAGGCTACAGGCAAAAAGTGGCCAGTTTTCTGACCTCTGCCCAAGTCAGTACTTTCCAGACTGCAGGCTACAACCCATGAATGGGCCAGCAGTAAAACAAATGCAAAAAGCACAGAGCATTGCATATAAGGAAATGGGACTATTCTCTTTTCTGTGTCTCAAGAGACTTTTGTTTGGACCCTGGGGGAGTGTGTGCACATGCATGTAGGTGTATGTCTGAACTCGGGGTGTCTACTGAATTGTGATATAAAGGTATTTCATGAGTCTGGGTCAAAAATATTTGAAAACACTGTGGGCTTTATCAGTATGTAGCAACTCAGTGCCTCAGAGAGTTTGCAAATTTAGACCCTACTGCTTTGACTTGCAGAATTGCACTCATGGAGTTGTATTGGGTGGTTAAGGTTTCTCTGAAACTAGTTACTGAAATTAATATTCAGATTTTAAAGGAACTGTCTTTCAGGTTCCTAAGTCCTGAGAGTGGGTTCAGGCTGGGATTAAGTGAGGCCTGTGGGGTGCCCTGGGCCCTGGACCCTGCGAGTGCTGGGTAGCTGATATCCCAGAATTCCCTTCTCTCTTGGTCCCCTCTTCTGGTCCTTCTCTGGTTTCTGGATTCCTAACTGGTTTCTTCTCTGCCAAACTCCAAGATGAATGAAAGCCCACCTGGTGTTCCTTCCCATGGTATATAGTTATGGCTCCAGATCYGTCCTCCCACACTGATTCTGCTTTTAACCTTGTGGCTTTCATGGGTTTGGCCAATGAAATATCAGAATATGTGCTTGGAAGTCCTGTGCCTTGGAACATGCCCTCTTGAAATGCTGTCCTGAGACACATATGCTGTCAAGAAGTCTGGGTGGAAGGCCATGTAGAGAAGGAAAGTAGGTCAAAGGGACCCAGCTGGACCCAGCCCCTGCCAACAGCTAGCACCAACTGTCAGAAATGTGAGTGAGGCCATCTTGGACTTTCCAGCTGGCAACTGCACGAACGTGTACCCTGMTGTCTTAGGACATTTTCTGTTGCTGTATCAAAATAACCTGAAGCTAGGTCACGGATAGAGAAAAGAGGTTCATTTAGCTCACAGTTTTGGAAGGTGAAAGTCCAAGATTGAGCAGCCCCCTTGGTTTGGCCTCTGCTGAGGGCCTCTTGGGGGATGGCATTGCAATGGAAGGAGTAGGTATAGAAGAGATCAGATGGTGAGACAGGAAGCCAGAGACAGGGAGGAACCATCTTGCTCTTTTATAACAACTCGGTCTGGCAGGAGCTGACCAAGGTCCAGAGAGAATGATATCAACCCCTTTCCAGGGTGATGCCCCCAATGAGTTAACCACCCAGCAGAGGCCACCTCTTAGAAGTCCTACCACGGCTTCACCACCTGAGGTGCCAACTGGGAGCCAGCAGTGCCAGATGAGGAGTGGGGACACGCTCATCTCACCATAGACACTGAGCAAGAGACACCGGAGCCTCACAGAYCTCAGAGCCCCAGGAAAGAATAATAATGATTGCTGTGTTAAGCCACCACATTCTGGGGTGTTAAGTAGCAGTCAACAAACTGAGCACCTTCAGAGCAGCTTGGTGGTGGCGGTGAGGGTATCCGAAGTCCCCTGCTACCTCTTGCTTCCTGGGCCCCTGAGTCTATTCAGTCTTCAGGTCTTAATGACTTATCCACTGTACATCTCTGGTCTGTCTCTCCACCTTGACCACCACAGTCCCATATCAGGGCATAATTCTCCTGTCCTAGATGGTTACCGTGGCCTCCAAGTGCCTGCTCCATCTCCTTTGTGTCACCAGGGTAGCTCTTGAATACTGTGGCCCTACCCACAACTCTCTGCCCGTTTCCCCAGGAGACAAAACATCATCTCAAGAAAACCAAGCTCAACACAGCACAGTGGCATGTGCCTGTAATCCCATTGACTCAGGAGGCTGGGGCAGGAGGATTGCAAGTTTGAGGCCAGCCTGGGCAACTTAGGGAGACCCTGTCTGTCTCAAAATTTTAAAAAGTGCCGGGGATGCATGCACCTCAGTGGTGGAGTGCCACAGGGTTCAATCCCCAGCACCACGAACACAAACTAAAACCAAGCCCAGATCCTCCCAGGTTGTGTCAAAAGACGGGGCTTCCTGGCTCCAAGAGCCACTGTCTCCAATATGGTAGCCATTACACAAATAAGGCTGCTGAGTGCTTCAGATATAGCTAGTGCCATGAGCAATGGACATTTAAACTTTGCTTCATTTTTATTAACTTATGTTAGAACCTGATATAAAATTCAGGTACCAGAAAATGTCCAAGTGTGTTTGGAAGGAAGCCACCAAATGTCCTGGTTTTCCTGGGACCGAGGGGGTCCCACCTGTCCGCAGTGGTTACCCAGCACTTATAGTGGTGATTCCCACGCATGAGACCTGCCTTTGCAAGAATAATAATGATTGCTGTGTTAAGCCACCACATTCTGGGGTGTTAAGTAGCAGTCAACAAACTGAGCACCTTCAGAGTAGCTTGGTGGTGGTGGTGAGGGTATCCAGAGTCCCCTGCTACCTCTTGCTTCCTGGGCCCCCGAGTCTATTCAGTCCCCTGGGGCTGAGATGCAGGACTCAGGGTCAAGAGTGAACGCAGGGTGTGTGTGGCCCCAGAGTGCTGGGCTTCCAGAGGAGGCAGTAAGAATTCGCTGTGGTGGCTATTACCAAGTAACACGCAGCCCACGTGTAGAGGAGTCAAGTGACATTTAAAAAAAAAAAAAAATTCACTCATGAATTCTGCAGGTCGTGGGTTCAGAGAGGGCCCGTGGGGACAGTTTGTCTTGGCCCCGTGGTGGCTGGCCTTTGCCTGGTGAGATGTGAAGGCTGGGGGAGGTTTGAACACTGGGACTGGAATCGTCTGGAGACTTCTCTGCTTGTGTGACTAGAGCCTGGTAGGACTGAGCTGGGACTGGGACTGGTGTGCCTCTCCATGTGGCCTGGGCTTCTCGTGGTGGCTGGATTCCAGAGCGGGCACGGCAAAGAGGGTCCAGGAGCAAGGGTTCCAAGTGGGCCAGCTGTGAGAGCCGCAGGGCCTTTTATGACCTAACCTCAGAAATCACAAGGGCGTGGCTTCCATGGTAATCTCTTGGTGGGAGTGGTCACGTGCCTAGCTTGTGTCAAGGAGTGGGGTCATGGCCTCCATCCCCTGACAGAGGCGTGGCAAAGTCCCCTTTGGGACTGTTGGGAGCTGTTGGGAGCAGTGACTCTTGTAGCCAGTTCTGGAAGTCATGTGCGGGCCTTAGAGGGTGGGGCCTGTTGAAGYTGAGGAACTTCCTTTTCTCATCAGACCAGAGCTGCCCTGTGCTGGGTGAGGGTCTGGAAGTGTAAGCCAGGACCCATTCCTCCAGCCTCCCCAAGATTTGCTCTCCACTTAGTCTTTCTAAAGGAAGCTTTTCGTCTTGAGATGACTGTGGCTCCCAGGCAGCCGGC